TCAAGACTTTCAGAATAAGAAAAAAAAATATTGTAAGACTGATAACGGCAGCCAGAAGAGAGAATAACGTCAGATTTACTCTCCCGCTCCATAGACGCTGCATTACAAATATCTCAGACAAGCAGTAATTTGTTTTTTTTTTGTGTAATTTGATGCAAAGATGATATAATACATACATAAATACATATAAATGTCCAATCAAGAGTTCACACTTAGCTGATGATTGATTATAAAGCGTATTTGGCATGCTGTTCCAGGAGAGAGCCCTGAACTGGTAGGTCTCGAGAACTCCCCTGCTGTAGTAGCTAATGAACAGATAGTGTTTGCTCTTAAGAGATAACTACTTACTAGGAGCATGTCTATGGTGCCGATTTGGATTAGTCAATTAACTTATGTTGCATGTTTTTGGATGGTGGGAGAAAACCGGGGAACCCTGGGGAAACCCATATGAGCATGGGGAGAACGTGTAAACTCTGTACAGAAACGTCAAGAAAGAAGGAGGAGTAGGGGTGGAAGGGGGGATTCTTCAATACGAGGATGGCTGTAATATGGAACTCAGGGTATTTATAGTGGCTTAGGAGTCGTCTGATTGGTGGATCATAAATTGGATAATGCGGGACCGGCTGCAAGCAATCATGATCCTCTCGAAATGAGTTTAGAAATAAACTTCACTACATTTTTAAAAAAATCTGAACATTATTAACTTTTAGGGATTTAAGATGCTGATGACCGTCAAATGCGTCATAACAAGTCTTGTGAAAAGGGTCTATTTCAAAATTCTGATTGTTGATAGAAATACATTACCTAGACTTCTGCCATCAATGCTACAGTTTGACAGCACAGGTGGAGATTCTGGACGAGGCTGATCCTCACCTGCTGTACAAAATCATGCTTGATTCAGAGAACAGACTGCAAAAAGGTCCACTCTGTTTTATATATCGCAATATTTATCGAAGAAAAATAAAACATCGCTTGTCTAATACCATGCAGCCTTAAATTAAATCACAGGCTTTCTACAGGTTTCATCAAGTCAAGTTTAAGACTTCTTAAGACCTTTAAAGACCATTTTAAGACCATAATGAATGAAATTTCAGACTTACACAAGGCTAAACGCTAAAGATTTTTAAAGGTCAAGACAAAACCTTAAAAAAAACACTAAAGACAATTGTTGATGTAAGGAAGTTAATTAATCCATATTAATAAGTAAATAGAGTTAATAAATAAACGTTTCTTAAAACTTTTAGTGAAATATATTGTTAGGGATTGGATGGCTGTTAGCCCGATTAGACAGCTATACATGGACATAGGAAAATTAAGACCCGTTTAAAAGGATTTAAGACCTTTTTAATTCTTAAAATGTTTTTTTTTTTTTCTTTATACATTTTAAGACTTTTCAAGACCCCTCAGAATCCCTGAATCAAGATAAATTCCAAGACAAAGAGGAAACAGTGAGTTTGTGACCGACTAAAAAAGACAAAACACTTACCTGGATGTATATCATCAGCACTGCAGTGTATTAAAACAGGTGGTGCACATTGTGGAGGCCGAGATCCACCATCATCATCTGCAATAATACAGTAAACAAAAGTAAAAATAGCTCTACACTTCCAGAGCGAGACGATTTAACTTCACAATGCTTCATACCAGCAGATCCTCCGTCTGACTTGGTTGTAGGCTCTCCGTCTTGTGCTTTTGAAGCTTCACGCAATGACAGTGTTAGGGCTTCCTCTAAATCTCTTTCATAACGTTTAGCATCCAGAGACACCCTGAAATAACAAATAAGATAAAGCTGGTTTTATATTCGCACATTCATTCAGTGACAACTTCTAACATGCTAGTTACATTGTTAACATGGTACTTTGAATATTTGGTTTGAAATCACATGTAATTACAGCTTTAACCACAACATTAGCACTATTTAATTGACTGTTAACAATTGTACTTTGATAGTCATTAGCTGCTAATATGATTTCCCTAATTAAAATTAGCAAACAATACTTTTCTAAAAATTATAATATAAAGGAGAAACTCTAAATGTGTGAATATAAAACCAATTTTAGCCTATTAAAAATAACACACCAGTGAATCAGTCGTTTACCACATTACACACTGATTTAATGCTAATAAAATGTGCTTCGGTAGAAAAGACCTCTTTCTGCTTTCAGAGCTGGCGAGATCGACATCCCCATTTGCAGGTGTGCTTGTAGTCTTGCTGGATTTCTCAGAATCAGGATCTGTTCGAGCTTTTTTGGGAGGAGGTTTCACACAGGCAAAATCCTCATCTGTCACACAACACACATTAGATCGAGGTTTAGTTGGTTTTATATATTTGCACATTCATTTGGTGACAACTTGTAACACGCTCCTTATATCGTCTACTTTGAATAATTGGTCTGAAATCATATGCAAGTATGACTTCAAAACAGCATCAGCACTATTTTAATTGACTGTAAACAATGTTGTGCAAAGCAGTCATTGGCTGTTAAAATGATAACTCCTTTTTAGAATTTCCAAACAATCCTTTTCTGAAATTGTATTATTAAGCAGAAAGTCTGATTGTGTGAATAGAAATCCAACTTTACCTCAATCCACATAAGCACATTTTCAGGTCCATCCAGCCTTAGTTATTATTTTGAAGTAATATAATAATACAAGTTAAAATCAAATATCTCACCATCATCATCTTGGAAATCTGAATAGTTGACAGTCTTCTTACTTCTGATGACACACAGAGACAGAGAGACATAATAACTCTTTTAATAAAGCATTCCAGACTTCTGAACTTAAAATGATTGATTATGAAAATGTCATATATATTCAATATTAGGAATGGGACGATAATGTGGTTTGGAAAAGTCAAGGTTTTAAAACCATCAAAATTTTCTGCTATCCCAAGATATGTGTACGATTTTTAATATTTATGTATATTTTTGGTTTGTTTTTAGGACAACAGTATCTCCAACAACAAAAAAACATCCAAAGATGCCGTTTTAAATGGTAAAAAAAATGTGTGTTTTTGAAACTAACGAAGACAGAAGACGTCTTACTTGAATAATTTAGCCCGACATCTTTACTGTTCTAAAATATTATAAATGTAAATATCATAAAGCCATATAAGTTACAGGAGTCACAAGGAGTTATTGAAAATCTACTGATCCACTGTAATCTAATGTATGATTAAAATGATTTCATAACAAAGGGGAAGACTTATTTAGAAAACTTTAATACATACCTGGATGGTCTGTCCATTCTTAAAGTCAAATCAGATCTATAAATATCTCACTGTATGTCCTATGAACAACAACAAACTGACGCTATTGTCGTGTTTTATAACCTTGCGTGTTATCGACTGAACGTTAAGCAACGGAACAAACAGCTAACTCAAAATGTATGTCTATATAACTGTAAAAGACACTGATAAAGCCTGTCTTATTTAAAAAGCACAGCACAGATATTGTTGTGGTCCATCATCCAACCCGCCTGAAAACAAACTGCGGAAATCCATCTGAATGTAAGGGATGTACAATTCGTTGAAAGTATATTAAATAGTTCAAATTCAACGCCAAATAAGTGATCGAAAATATAATAATAATGATATGTGATTTTATCATGGTTAAAAAAAACTTAAACAAAAATTGTTTCGCCTTTTCAAAGCTTTTGCGCGTTTTGGGAAATGTCGAATCTGCGAATGCGACTCTAACGTTATATTTGATGAGCGCAGACGCGGCTCTTGATTATGTCACAAACTTGATTAAAATAATTACACATTTAAATGAATCTATCCACTTTATTTAAGTGTTTTTTTCTGCAGGGAACAGTATAAAGTCAATAAGACAATAATGTAGTATGCTAGGTAGCCTTTGTAGCTATTGCTAACCCTTAGTTTAATTTATTTCTCTATTCTTTAGACTATATAATCTGATTTTTAATGTCGTTTGGGGGGCAAATAAAATTCAAAGGTATTTTTTTTTTTGTTGATATTTTAAAAGCAGATTAAATCTGAAAGTGTAGGCTAAATATGACTTTTTTTTTCTTAGCCTATGCGTAACCTAACTGTTCTTAAATTAAAGTCAATTTACATTTTCAATTAGTAAAACAACACAGTTCACACAGGCCTAAAAATAGCCTAAAATTAAATTCCTCTTAAGCAGGTCATAAATGTCTTTATAAATCCCTTCCTAACATTTAACCCTGGAAACAAAACTGTGGGAAGGTTTATTCTTGGAGACTGACGCAGACTGATGTTTCAGACCCATTCATTAATGTTTAACCAGCGAATGAGGGTCAGGACAGACACAAGCCTAAACCAGTAACCAAACCAACAAGTCTTAAGCATACCATTTTGCTTGAGTTAACAACAATATTATTGTTATTTATTTATTTTCTGCATATAACCTCCTAGCTGATTTATTAATAACAAAATGAACTTGAGTGAATGAAGTCATGAAACAAACTTTTATTAATTCAAAACGGGTAAAACAGATATAACATTTCCCTGCACTTAAAGCATCCATATAAATATACCATAAATAAACCATATGTAATTAAATAAATAAATACTTTCTTGGTTGTCAATTGTTTCTCCAGGTGGTGTCCAGCACCAAAAGACAAACACATGCTGGCAGCTTTAGTGATGTGCAGAAACTACACTGGAGAAAATGGTTCATTGGAATGCTACTATTTTTAAGGAAAGTGGTTGCAAATCATTTACATGCGATTACATGTAAATAATGCATTACAATTTAAACAAACAAGTTAAGTTGAACATACTAAACTGAAACTTTGTTTAAATTCAGCTCATATAAATAGCTTGCAACCACTTTCCTTAAAAAATGTACATCTAATGGCTCTTTTTTTCAGTGTACAGCCTAAAGAATCTGCAGATCTACACACATGACATTGACTTTCATTATAAAAAACATTTATTAATGATGAAGATATTACGGTGCCACACAACTAACTTTGCGCAAAGCAGCGGCGGGTCCAGACTCAGAGTCACATTTGGCGGATTTATCCGACAATTGCTGCAATCCGAGGACTTCCAGGGCTCGTGTCGTGCAGAAGATCCCATGGATCATCATCGGAAGGGGAAACAAGGGTTTCTCTAGAGATGTTTTGACCTTCTGAGGGCTCAAAATCCATGTCTCCATCATCCTCCTGCGCGGCTCTGGAATCAGACTCCTCCGCGTACCGGAGCGCGTTCAGCGGGTCTGTTGGGTTCACCTGCCGGTTCCTGCGCTCCCGATGCTGCAGGCGCTCCAGCGGAACCGTGTTCTTCTCCGACAAGAAGAGAGACGACTGAGGGAGGTTTTGTCCCGCTATAAACGCCTGTTTGTCCCCGTCCAGATTAAGCAGTATGCTGTGTTTAGTGGAGTAATACACATCACGATGGTTTTCCAACAGTTTGTGGTGGAAAAGACAGTCTTCCTTATTGCAGATCGTCTAAAAGTCAGAAAAATAAGCACATTTTATAAATCAAAATAAGTTATTGCAGTGTCTTGCCATTTCAAACATGTTTTTGTGTACATTTTAAAGATAAGATAAACATTTTGTAGCTTCTCCGTTATTAAAACAGTCGTATAATAGTTTCACTGCTGTTTTTGTTTTTGTCTGTGGATTTATTCCAGTAAAAGAAATATATAAGCATGTTCACGAGATCATTATAAAAAATATTATATAGCCTGCAAGTCACATTACAAAGAAAAAAATAAGAAAAAAAATAGGCTATTTTAAAAACAATATAGGCTAAAAATGTTTTTAAATATATTGAATAAATTAAGAGCATTAGGAAAGCTATATCTTTAATATGTTATAAATAAAGATAAACATAACCAGAGCCAATGAATGTTTAAAAATAGCACCAAATAACATATATATACAAGTATTTGATTAAAAAAAACTTTAAATGCAATTTTAAGGTAAACCGTATGCATTTTTATCAAAAATTATTTTTATCAAGCTGAATTAAAAAGTTACAGTTTGAAAAGTTTACATTGCTAAATTTAGCTTGCTAAAATCAGATGTTGCAGGTTAACTCACCGTGTTCATGTGTATAAACTATTTATAAGGAATCTTATTTACAACTTAAATGTGTTTATTTCCAATAGATGAATACTTACAGATGTGAAAAGGGTTCCTCCTGTATCCATGCACAAAAACCGGTTACTTTTCACTCCAAATATCGCCAGACGGTCTCTGCTTTCTGTTTTCAATAAGATTACACCTGTTGAGGGTATAAGATATGATGAGTATGCTTTGAAGGAAATTGTTTTGCATTGTCCTATAAAATATATACAGTTATGATTTATCTACTCAGGCTTTACTGGTCTTAATCTCCTAATATGGCTGGCATTATGTTTATTATAAAATAAGGTTATTTTTTTAATTCCACGAAGAACCATCAGGAACTTTTTCTGGGAATTAAAAAGTCCTGATCTGCAACAGGTAGGCTACTCACTGTATGAGCCCCGATTTGTAGTTTTGCGCACGTGTCCACTCGGGCTGATCTCCAGGTAGTAGTTGTTTAAGTCTGAAGTGGTCTGAAGGTGGATGTATCTCCGCGGGTTCCCCCAGTTGGAGCCCAGCAGCGGAGAAGGATTGGGGGCCGCATCTGCAGGTCTGAGTCCCTGGAGAGCCGTGAACCACAGCGCGAGGACGGATGAATGCAGCATGTGCAGGTTGGAAAGTGCGCAACGCATCTTGACAGAGCGCGTAAAGCCGGGTGTGCAGAGCTGAAGAAGTTGTGATGCGTAAAAGTTCGTGAGCGCGGCTATTTAAACGCATCCTGTGCCACTCCTTTACGCAACACTCTCCCCCAGAGCCAGAGGATGTGAGGGGGCGGATTCAGCATGTCCACCTTCTGTTTGTTATGAAGGTAATTGACTGGTAAACCATAATTGGTTTGTCAATTTGGCACCAAAATTGGCTAAGTATTCAAACGTCTTAAAATAACATTGGAAACAGAAAATGCGAAATCTGCTCATTTTTAAACATCTCGTGCATTTGAGAATCATTTGGTGTTCTCAATGATAAATAACCATGCCATTATGTGTAAGCCAATATAGGCCAATATATAACTATGATTAAATAATTCATCAATGAAACTCACTACTCGATCAGCATAACGCACACTGTAAAAAGTAAAAGCAGGGTTTCACACAATGCCTTCATGTTGTCCCAACACAAATTGACTTAAGTTGAAGATTGAAGTTGACTTAACACTTCTAACGAATGTATGTGGATTAAACAAAAACATTAGGTTGTCCCTATGAAATCTCAAGAATTGTCTTGTTTGTGCACGCATAGAGATTTAGCATAAAAGCGCTTGCAAAATTAATAGCTATACACTGAAAAAAATATTATTTATATTCATTATTTTTTTAAGATTTTGCAAACAATTTATTTTGTTAATAATTTTGGGCTGAATTTAAGCAAGCAAAAAAAAATTATAAATAATGTTCAACATAATTTGTTTAAAATCCGCCCGAATAAATTGTTTTCAAACACTTACAAAAGTATAGTAAATGAATATTATTTTTCAGTGAAGGCCTATATTGAAAATAATAGTGTAAAAAATAGAGTATTGGAAATCCTGAAGTTTCTACTGCTGGCCAGCAGAGGGAACCTGTAGCACATTCACAAACAGTGACTAAAGCAGTAATGCACAAACATGGTCTTAACCTGAATATTACATATAATAACTTCAAAATGCATTCATTCATTTTATTTTTGGCTTAGTTCCTTTATAAATCTGGGGTCACCACAGCCGAATGAACCACCAACTTATCCAGCACGTTTTTACGCAGCGGATGCCCATCCAGCCGCAACCCATCTCTGGTAAAAACATCAAAATTATAAAACAAAATAATAATAATCATGGCTATTTTATGTATGTTTTCATTACATATCACTATATATAAGCTGTAATACATTTAAATTAATTTTATTATATCATTAATTGTAAGACTTATTTTATATTTAAACTTTCAAAATATGAAAAAAAAATGGCAAAAAACTAAACACAATAATTTGGGCTTTAATATTTATATTATTAAAATATAAACTTTCTGTATTCATACTGTGAAAGAAAGAAAACAACAGCATTATTAGATCTAGATGTCATCGTATACAGTTGAAGTCAGAATTATTAGCCCCCCTTTTATTTATTTTTAAAATATTTCCCAAATGATGTTTATCAGAGCAAGGACATTTTCACAGTATTTCCTATAATATTTTGTCTTTTGGAGAAAGTCTTATTTGTTTTATTTCAGCAAGAATAAAAGCAGATTTAATTTTTTAAACACTATTTTAAGGAATAAAATTATTAGCCTCTTTAAGCTATATATTTTTAAGCTGTATAGAAGTGTCTTGAAAAATATCTAGTCAAATATTATTTACTGTCATCATGGCAAAGATATAATAAATCAGTTATTAGAAATTAGTTATTAAAACTATGATGTTTAAAAATGTGTTGAAAAAAACTTCCCTCTGTTAAACAGAAATTGAGGGGAAAAATAAGCAGGGAACTAATAATTCTGATTTCAACTGTAGGTGTTAAACTCAGTCCCTGGAGAGCCACAGCTCTGCACAGTTCAGTTTTAACCCTAATTAAACACACCAGATCAAACTAACTAAGTCCTTCAGTTTTGTTTGAAACCTAAGGGGAAGTGTGTTGAAGCAGAGTTGGAACTAAACTACAGTATGCAGAGCTGCGGCAATCCAGGAATTTGAAGCTGAGATTTCTTGTGATGAATCAAGATTGAGACACAATCTTCAAATAAGCATGACAGAAAAGAGGTTTATCAATTCCTTGCGAGTCGTTTATTGAACTGTTTGATGTTGTATAAATGATCTGTATGAGTGGGACATCCTGACAGCGTGACTTGAACTGGAGTTGAAGTTATTTCTAGAAAAGTGTCAGTTCTGGACACCGTAATCTTGACTGGACTTGCTACTTGAGCATAATTAAAATAGGGAACAAATGCACACACGTATGAAATAAAAGAAAAAGAACAAAAATAGTTTTATTAACATCAGGAATATGATTAAACGGCTGTGCACAGCACATACGTAGAAAAGTAAAGGAAAAAAAATAGTATTTTTCAATATATCTGTATTCATACATAGCCTCAGCGCTTGTTTTCAGAAACACATGATTATGTCCTCAGTTTCAGTCACAAAATCATTGCGAGAAATCATAACTAAGGCAGGGGTGAGAGGTATAACAAGCAGACGCGAACACAAACCTTTCAAACAAACACAAAACAGCAAATGCACACTGTCTATTATTTACATTCAAACTTAAACTTTAAGTCAGGATTGGCCAGGGGTGTGAATTATTTGATGCTTTACTATATATATTCTGTGATGTATTTGTTGACTGTTTACTCGATTAATTGAAATATTCATTATTCATTTTCCTTCAGCTTGGTCGCCACAGCGGAATGAACCGCCAACTATTCCAGTATATGCATACGGCCAGTTTAGTTTATTTTAATTCACCTAAAGCGCATGTGTTTGGACTGTGGGGGAAACCCACACCAACATGGGGAGAACATGCAAACTCCACATAGAAATACCAGCCCAGTCGGGACTCAAACCAGCGACCTTCTTGCCGTGTCGTGACAGTGCTAACCACTGAGCCACTGTGCTGCCTAATTGAAACATGTATGAAGTAATTTATTAGTGACCAAAATCCAGAAATGACTGTATTAAGTATCCACAGACAGCAGGGGTCTTTCCTCTCACTGTCACAGGATCAGCCACACAAAGCATTTCACAACAAAGACACAGCAAATCCAAAAACAGCCATCCGCTCTAATGCCCGAAGATTCCCGAAAGCTCCATCTGTGAGCAGGATTCAGACGCTGACAGCTCGCAGTCGTTCACGCGCATACGCTTTTCTCATGAGTGTTTAAGTGCAGCGTCTAAAAGGAAACCGGTGTCTATATTCTATGCCCAATAAACATTTTTACAGCTGTTGCTATAAATCCACGCGACATACATCAGCAGATGAGAAGGCTCCGATTCCCGAAGGTTCACGCACATCGCTCATTCTTCAGACTGTCAGAATTAGGACACAAATGAAGCAAACAGCTCCCTGATTTGCACTCCTCATGTCTCACCTAATCAAATCTGATATATGGAAACATATGCGAATTACACAAGACATTTAAGTTCATATTTCATCAAATATGTAATAAATGCAACGCATATATTTACAAATATTGCAAAAATGCTGATTACATCTTTTTAACTATTGCAATTACAAAAATCTACATATACAGCGGGCTCAAATTTAAATATAACATATATAAAATATGTCATATATGCAAAACATATTTCAAAATTAGATTTTTTTTCAATATTTTAAAACATGTTTTGGATAAACAACATAATTTATATCGGTAAGATTATGTAGTATGCATATGTAGTATTTCGAATTATTGCAAAACAACAGACATTTTTCAACTATTGGAATTACAAACATGTACCTATATATTATGCTTGAATATATCACACATAATTATATATAGGTTCATATATGGCCATACAACTTAGATATTTAAACATATATGTACACATTTTTAACTCCAACGGTTGAAAAAGTCAAATTTTGCAATATTTGAAACTATATTATGCAAATGTAACATTTATCTATGTAAGATCAAATATGTAGCTTGCATATATATTGAAATATTGCAAAACAACAGATGACATTTTTTACAAACATGTACCTATATATTATGTTTAAAATTATCACACATAATTGTATGTGTGTGTGTGTGTGTGTATATATATTCATATATAGTCAAATGTCAACATATATAAAATTAAAACTAAGATATTAAGTGTGCATTTTATTTGTAAATCTAATGATTGAAAAAATTAAATATTGATTGCAATATTTCTAAATACGTTTTGCATATACGACTATTATATACATGTAAAATTAAAATCTGTAGTTTGCATATATTTCGAAATATGGCAAAAAACAGATTACATATAGAATTTTGTAACCACTGAATATGCAAACATGTAAATATACTTTTTGTATAAATATCTTACACATAATTATATATATTTATATATGGCTATTTGTGAACATATATACAATTAAAACTAAGATATGTAAACACATAAGTACATATTTGTATTTCAAGTACAATGCTTGAAAAAAATAAAATGTTCAAAATATGTTTTGCATATATGACAAATATTGTATTTTTATAAAGTAAAAATAAGTAATTTGCATATAGTTTGAAATACTTACAGTTTGAAATACTTTTGGAATTACAAACATGTACCTATACATTATGTTCAAATATATTACATAATTATATATACATGTTACGTTAAATTATAACACACATATATTAAAATATATATATATAATATATATAAAATATATTTGAACATATATGTACATATTTGTAATTCTAATCGTTAAAAAAAATTTAATTTAGCAATATTTCAAAATATGTTTCGCATATATAACATATTTTATGTGTAAAAATCAAGTTTGTAGTTATCATATATTGCCATATACCTGATACCTATGTGAGCGTAATGCTTCTTTACTGCTCAAGGTATTATAACACATTCAGAAGACATAAAAATGTGATTAATAGTTTACTCCAAATTACTTCTAAACTCTGATGAAGTTTAATCCGTTAAAAACGCTTCCCGCTGACACCACTGCATATCCATGAGAAGCT